AGGGTCAAACTGACCCTCACCCGAGCGGAGGATATCCAACTGGCCACCCGGGGTCGTTATACCACTTTGTGCAATTATTATTCAATATTATCGAGAAAAGATTGACTTTAGGATGATGCAAGCATATTTTTCCTACGGCACAAACATTAGAAGTCAATATTTGAAATCGACACAGTGAGAGAAAGTTAGCCATGACCATGCACGCTTATCATCGTAATGATTTAATGAACTAGGTTAGGTAATATAATTTCCCGAATCTTCAGGTATTAGCAATGTTTCCTGCTGTGAGTAAGGCATTTTATGCACACTGTACTCTTACGGCTATCGAAATATTAAAGGAAATATTTCACCGCTGAAGGTATTGATGCAAGTATCAGATAAAATGAAACAAGCTCTTATAACTACCGGAATGCTTGTCAAGTGGAAGAGACTGCTCGAGACAGCACAATTCTCCGCTTAGTAATTATGCTGCGCAATGCATCATGGTTTGATCACGTCATCGTAACGTGCACAGCGTTGATTGGGAGCCAGTTGACGGCCGTTATATCTAGAAATCGCGCCCACAAACGGCACATATGAACGCCTCGATAACTACATTGTTTGGCCTTGATCGCCACATGGCTGATCGAATGGCGGAAGTCGAATGATGTATTATGACGTCATGAATGCCTAGGTAACTTTGGAAAACTCTCCCCGATACAGCTTTCCCCATTTTTTGGGCGCGTTGCTCAGAAACTTGAGGGGCTTAGGCCTTAGGAAGGGCAGTATTGTGAGCGGTACCAAAGGTCTTCAAGATGGGTATTTCAGTTCAAAACCCCAATGTGGAATGCTTCCCTTAACTACACCTATATATGAATACCCTTATGCATCTACAAACCTCTAAAAAATATGTTTCACACATTGAGAACTACACGGATGTAAATACAGGCGATGCCGCGTCCTAGACGAAGCGGGGTAATAATTCTGCGCCCGATCAGGGAGAATGAAAACCATTCGTAAGAATATGTTTAAATTGGTCGGCCACACAATTATCCATTTTTCAGACACGCCTTAAGAGTGCGACCGACAGACCATTTGGGTCCGCCCAGCCCCTGGAACCACTTCACCACGTAGCAGACACCTCCCGGAATGACACGCGTTCTCATAATAAACAGCCCCAACGTCAAGCGTTCACGACAGAATACAAAAATGGTCAACATACACTTTATTACTGAACAAACTTCCATTCATTCTTTCGCCGTTCATCCCCGTAAACACCACACCACACCTAATCCACGCGACGCGAAGCCGAAGAGACGCGCTCGCCGGAAATTACAGGGCAACCAAGACTCTATTCGAGGTAAAGTAACCCGGCGATTGATACTCAGCGACGGCCGCCGTGTGACGTAATTTGGAGTCACTTTGTCGGCGGACCGCGACGGACACCGAGTAGGCGCCGTGAACTTAGCCGCCGGACACCTTGGACAATAAATATTTCTCAGCCTAAACAGACAAAAGATTGTGATGCATGAACCAAACAGATTGCACAGCTAGCGTAAATGTCATTTGAACCCACAGAGAAACCGCTCCTGGAGCAGCCCGACTTAAATAACTGTTATCATTAGTAACAATGACTTTTTAGAATCCGCAGGTGAATAGCATTTTAGGAGCATGATTCTTGCCTTCAAACCCGACCCAGTCAGTCAACTCCTCTCTTTATTATCACTGTAAATCACAATGATCGATGGATTGTTGATATGGGATGGAGTGAGTGACTCCCGGTAGCATCCGTGCTCCCCGCCCCCGCCCCCCCCCCCCCCACCCCTTGTGGGCGGAGTGGGGGCACGGATTTTGAGTTCGGGGGGGGGGCATGATCTTTCAGGGGCCTTCTAAACATGGAGGATTTCTTCACAGAGAGGGGCCTTCTGAGCGGTGTCTTATTCAAGGGGATGGGCACCGAGGGCATGAGCCTACGTACCAAGCTGTTGCAAGTATCATATCCAAGTAGATCATTGCCGATAATTAAAAAAGCTTAGAAAAATGGCGTCGTGATTATCCAGCCAAGCGTATTGCTCCCTAAAATAGGGTCTCCTGTTCTAGAAATGGCACTCCTGATCTAAAGATGTGCCTCCTAATCCTGACCAGGATGCTTCCAACTCATGAAGAGGCCTCCAAATTTAGCCAAGAGGCCTCGCTATCCCAAAACGAGGGATTCGGACCCAGAACGTAGCCATCTGATGCATGAAAGGGGCCTCCCGATCCAGGCTTGGGGCTTTCTGAATATAAACCATGCACTCTTACCCAGAACAGGGGCCTCCTAGGTCGTGACGGATGCCTCTTGAGCCAGGAAAGGGAAAATGTTACCACAATGTTGGACTTAGTTATCTAAGACATGGCTTAGCTTAATCACAAAGGTCGCCTCATGATCCAGAAAACGGATCTCTTGACGTATGATAGCGTTTTCTGAGCCACATCTGTTGCTCTCTAACTTGGTCATGAGGCCCGCTCGATCTGAATGTGGTAGTCTACGGGTAGCCAAAATGCCTTTAGTTTAAGAAATATATACTTAGATGTACGTTATCCGGTAGCTGAACTGTGGCAGGTCAAAGTCAGGCAATGACTCGGTGAATGAAATTCCTAGTAAACTGTCAAAGGTGGTGCGACAACGGAATGTTGGACGACACCATAATTTTTGGGGATCGTTCATTTGACAATTGAGTTTAGTTTTACATATACTCCATTTCACCGGATTAGCTCTGATGGTCAGACCGAGATAACGAACATGCTTTTGCACTGAGGAGACTAACTTCATATGATACTTTTTGACGCTCAAGTTGAATTCCTTTATCAGAGGGACGAAAACTGACATTTTATGACTTTCATGAAGGTCATAGGGGTTAATGACCTAAAATGACCCCGATAAGCCTCTTATTGTTTGGCGCATACCTCCCAGCCTAATGCTTGACAGTTATTTCAATTCAAAAATCAAAATAATTTCGGATATTAAGGTCAGCACGACCTTCTGTATGTCAAATAGGGTCATTAACCTGGAATGAACAACAGTGACCCTTTGCTTGGAACAGGAATCTCGGTTCAAGGTGGCTGCATGACTAGGTCTGACGTCGCTTCGGACACGGATCTGGAACTTGACTTTGTTTGGCATTATTTGACCAGAAAGCCAGGACCTATAACTTGCATACAAACCTATCTGCCCCGACAAGTTGAAGTGACCAAGCTCTAATATTCTTAAAAATCTGGGCGATGGAGTTGACCCCACACTACCCACGCTTGCCGAGCGCGCAACATTCAACCAGCCACCCGAGTGCGTGTGCCTTAAATTTCGTGGTCGTTCTCACTGCAGGAGCCCATGTTCAGCATGTCCAGTCTCGCTGGCACTGCAGTGCAGTGGTTCAACACTCCGAATCCGACCCGGGGGACAGATTCACGCTAGCGAGTGCAGCGCCCGGTCCGTTGAAAGGCAGGCCTCTTGTGGTTGCCATAGATGTCGATAGCGAAAGGCGTGACCAAAGACACATTTATGGGCGTTTAAAGGGAGTATCTCACATCTGTACGCGGTTTTCCACTACAGTAGCCATCTTAAAGACCGTTGGGTGCAGTTCACAGCTCTGCCCTTCTTAACACCTAAACCGCTCTAGCTTCTTAGCTATACGACAGCGAAGATGAGCAGACTATTTCGGGAAGACTATTTCAACTTCACACAGGCATTCGTGACGTCATAATAACGTCATTAAAATCATGCTATTACATAAGCCATGCGGCGATCAAGGCCAGGAAAAAATTATTGTTGAGTCGTTCACATTTGTTGTTTGTGAGCACAATTTTCAAATATAACGGCCATCATTTGGTTCGCAATCAATGTTATGCAACGTACGATGACGCACTCAAATATTCAGGGCAGTCAGGGCAGTCTTTCTACTTAAAAGCATACCAAAAGTTATAAGTGAGCTTTTTTCATCATATTTGATGTTTGCCTCAATATCTTTAAATGTGGGACGTTCAATTCAAGGAGGTTTCGGAGTGACACTTCTATAAGTAATGTCAGGGATATCTTGACTCTTTAAACAGTGTCACGTTTTCCATGACTCCATTTTGCCCTTTGAGGGACGCTGGATCCTCCAGTATCCTCCGTATTTTCCTTCACTTTTCATGGTCATTAAGTATTCTGCAAAATTCAAGACTAAAGCGATTGCGGGACCCTCTTTCCAGACTAAATACCGATTAACGAGTAACAACTGACAAAAGGCTTCACACATATGCTGCTTTTAGAATCATTGTGACACCTTTTACAGGGTTTGCTCCCTGGAAAACTCGCTGGGGGTCATTTTGATTATCAGTGTGGTTACTGGGTCCTCCGTGGTAGAACAGGAGACCCATGACCCACCTGCATCCGCACGTGCACCCCTCCGTGGAGCTAGGTGGGTCGTCCTACACTGCACTGGCATTTGCCCAATGTTCGACTGCACAAACAGCGTTTTCGACTTCCATCTGAATATGCGTAGAGAAGCTGTTACCTGAGCTAGCCTGCACAGTGTCACAGCGTAGTGTAGTCCTGCGCAGCGTCCTGGCCTCATGCGTGGCGACGGGACGATTTGAGCTTGCGCTCGACTCACCTACCGTCCATTGTCCTGTGGGGCCACCCACCAATGCGTACAAACGGTCGTCTTTGCCCAGCTGCACATACTGCACATACTCCACTGGGAGCAATGCCGGGGCCTTCAGAGAACCAATCTGGCGCCACTTATACACGCACCCTCCCCAGGGCCCCGTCGGCACACCGTCAGTGGGTCGGCTGGGAGGCAATGCCGGGACGACTCCGACGCGCCATCGGCCGCGGTCGGCGCGGTTAGAAAAGCACGCGCCCGCCGACCAGCGTTCGCAGTGCTCCACGCGCCCCGACCCGGCTCGCAACCAACATGGCGCCCGCTGGCCCGCTGCCCCGGGCGCTGGTGCTGGTGCTGGCGCTGGCCACGTGCGAGGCGCTGCCGGACGCGCGGCAGCTGTCGCTGCAGCCGCTGCCGCTGCGGCCCGGCTCGTTCCCGCCCTCAGCGCTTCAGCAGCCCCCACCTCCGGTAAGCCGGCGCGTCATGGTGCTGCCAGAACGGGCTCCGGCTGGCTCGGGATCAGCCCCCTGTGCCGCCCTACGCCGGCCCATCTCGTCCCCTAGAACACCAGCCAGGGCGGAGGAATACCAAGCGCCGGTCACGCGCTTTGACGGGCGACTTCCTAAGGCTAGGCACATTGCGCACGTGCTCACATTGCGAACGCACCATGAACCCTGACTCCTCTGTTACTCCTCTTTATTTGTAGTCGATGAGGTTGGGCTTTTGGTACAGGAGATGTCGATAACTCTGTAAGAGCAGCGACAGACGCTATTTCATAGTTTTTTGTGTATTACGCCACTCTTATTTGCTATGGGCTGCTTGAAGTGGGCGCCGAATCTTGTCAAGGCTGCTGGACATAGCTTAAGAAAGAGCATGTCTTTTTTCCCGGCGCTTCCATTTCCCCCTATGCTCTCGACGCATGTCTTCGCTCTCGCTATCTTTGTGAATTCGGAAGACCACTTGTATTCACCGGTTCAAACAGCGCTCCCTTGCAGCGAGGCTTGCGTGCGCAGGATCCCACACCCGCTGAGACACGAGCCGGGAGAACGCCCGCATGGATCTGTGAGGCCGCTAGTAGGAAAGGCAGCTTGGAAAACCAGGCGGCTGCCACATGTTATATGTTAAGTCTTTCTGTTCTGTCTGCGTAGTTAGTAGTTACGTAGTTAACGCGACCTCAGCAAAGCTCTGTGCTTAACTGGTTATGTCGCAGTCAGGAGTTTGGATTTCCCTGGTACTTTACCCGGGTGTGAACTCAGGTTCTGTGCCATTGCATGCTACCAGGGTATGAACTCACGTTCTGTGCCATTGCCCGCTACGGGGCTGTGAACTCACGTTCTGTGCCATTGTCCGCTACCGGGGTATGAACTCACGTGCTGTGCCATTGCCTGCTACCAGAGTATGAACTCACGTTCTGTGCCATTGTCCGCTACCGGGGTATGAACTCACGTGCTGTGCCATTGCCTGCTACCAGAGTGTGAACTCACGTTCTGTGCCATTGTCCGCTACCGGGGTATGAACTCACATTCTGTGTCATTGCCTGCTACCGATTGCAGCTGCTTTATGCTGGCCAGCACAAGCTGTTACAGTTGCTTAGAAATCTGAGATAATTCTGGAATTTCAAACATGTGAACAATTCAATAAAAAAATTTAGACTTCTAAAAAAATATGTATTATTTTCAGCTTGTTCATACTCATAGACTAACTCAAATTGGTCACCAAGATATTTCACTACCAGACATGCCCACAAAGGCTGCTAGAAATGGGTGTGGAAATGGACTTAAAGAGCATCTGGTACTCAAGTGGTGCAGCGACAGATCACAATCACTTAAGTATTGCAAAATAAATCACCGGTGTTTCACGACCCATGGCCTCTGCGCACCGCTGAAATTTTGTGCGTAAGCTCTGTCATTTCCCCTCTTCAGGCAGATGTTGAACTGAGTAAGGGTGTGGCTCAAGCGAATGCGGCGATGGTCAGTCCGAGTATCCCTGGTGCGTGTGCATGAACGCGCGGCAAAGCAGTCCCCGCAAAATACTGATGGCGTCGTTTTTGTCTTGCCCACTTGTGACGTTTCAGCGTGGTATGGTGCCAATACACCCAAGATCTAATTTACGCGGCATTTACAGCTTCACGACAGTCCTTTGCCAAGGAAGCGCAATGGATCCTCCGTTTGACTCTGTGCAGGATTGAATGCTGCGTCGTCCACGATGATTGAGCAGATGCCGACATGTTGCAAGGCAATGACTAAGCACAGGCTAACGTTTCACTGCCAGGATTGCATCAAATTCCAATGCGGTTTTTTGTTAGTCAGTGATAGTTCTTATTTACTTTTGTTATGCTCATGTTTTGCTCAAGAGCAGAGGAGCAAATGTCAACTCTGCGAAACATCGTCAAGCGAATATGTTTGCTGATGTTGCTACCGGCAGCATTACAAATTGCAGACAATGCGATGGTCTCGTTTTTAAGACAGTAGACTGCAGACCGGATCACTGACAGCTGCAGCTTCGATGTTTATTAGGACTAGTTTCACATGATTGCTGTTATTTTCATCACGACGAAACCAGGCGCTTGTCCGTGGTAGTGGTCTATTGCCACGTATTTTTAGTTACTGCATGCAGCTGGCGTGCAAAGTGCAAGCTTGGCGTCCATCATGGATATTTACTGCCTTAATAACAAGGAACGGCGGTCACGGTGCTGACAATATGACACCCGTTGTGAGTTGGGAGTTATTATTCTAACAAAAATTCTCCTTCACTATGCTAGGAGGTATTTGTTAAGCGATGTTACGAGGCGAGGATAGGTTAGGTTAAGAGTTTCGAAGTCAATAGGTTTTCTGGACAAAAGTCAGTTTCACTTTTAGCCCTTCCTATGTTCATTGGCTACGAGTGGCGACTCGTGACCATGAGCACAGTTTGAAACGTGAATTTTGATTAACATGGTTAATGTTCGCTTAATAACGTCATTTAACGAGTACTTTCTGATATACTTAAGGTAGTATATTACCAGAGTAAGAACTCTCAAGTCACATTGCCGAATCAATCGGAAGCTCAAAGGCCTTCTTAAGGGTAGTGAAATGCTGCCAAACGTGCTGCGCTCTTGAGCTCACCTTCACATCAGTACATCAGAACAAGTTATGGTCTATCTGTCTTTCCCATGCACAAAACTTTCCAAGATCTTCAGGTAGCTTATATTTTTTGAAAAACATCCACTGGACATCGATCCCGATCACATTTCGGGACATCCATTTCAAGGGTTGTTCCTGGCGGGTGCCGTGGTTATCTTCATTTCGAAGGCCGTGACACGAGACCACAGAAGGAATCGGCCGTCTGCCCCGGCATCAGCGCTCCCTGCGGCGCGCTGAACAGGCTGAGAGCGCCGCGGCGCCTGCTCGTGCTCAGAGGTCAGGTTCAAGACTTCCGCCGGGGAAGAACAGCCATACAATTGATGCGCGGTATCGACGGCTGAGCTGAATGAGAAATTCTCCGTTGCGAGTGAGCCGGTGCCGCCTACTTCAGCGCGAGTGTGGAAATAGGCGTTGGTGTTGGCGCTAAGCTGCATGGAGCCGCTTGCACCGGGAGGGATTCCCTCTGCGGCAGTCAGACGGCGCCACATGCGCCGCCGCGTGGCAGAGCCGCTGGTGCTGATCACTGTCATTGCAAAATATTGGAATGGGGAAAGTTCTAAACTATATCGTATTGTTAATGCTTTTTATAACGCGAGCGCATTCAAAGAACCTTGCCAGCAGTCAAGGCGTCTTGAACCGGAAAGTGCGTTTGCATCATTGGGAAAACTACGATGAAATGACTTGCAATGTGAATTTTTGTAATCAATATTTCAAACACGAAGGTCGCAAAGCACGCAGCGCTGTCAGTGTGTCTGAAACGGCAGTTTTCGTACCATTCTTCATCTTATTTTTTTGAATTATCAAAAAAGGCAGCGTCACTGTGACATTGCTACCGAACATTTGGGCTGTTTTTTCATTGAGAAAACCTCGGAGCCCTTGCTCTTGAGCGAGTTCACCAGCATGTCACTTCATTTTACCTTCTTCAGCCTGCTGTCAGCTAGCTCCAGTAACCCCTGCAGGCTTGTACGAGCTTTAGCGAACTCCGTCTGCTTCACTACCTCAGCCATTTCACATCATGTTACAGCGGAAAAGAGCATTTCATGAGAGCTCCTGGTCGTCGATCACTATCATGTTGTCATCACGTCAAGCCTGTAAAGGGACCACAACCCAACATCCCAAAAAGCGTCACGCACTTCTTGCTGACACTATTTTTCGTCGTTTTCATTCATAAAAAGTAAATGCCTTTAAAATTGTGCAACTGATTTCACCCGCCTTTATCTAAAACATAGACTTCGCCTTGTCGTGGAAAATGTATCTACGTGCTATAATTAGTTTGGCAGTATAAGTGCAAAACGGCGTCTGAACCTATTAACCTTGCCAAAGTACTGCCTGAAAGAGAAGACATGAACTATAACACGGGCAGAAATCAGAAATTCTTTCTTCTCGTGCCAAAGGTCGATGTCAGTATTCTCATGTCAAAAGTCGATTGTTTCTTTCCATACCAATGCTCCGTCCTCACATCAAAATGACTTCATTGTCCTCCTTTACGCTGACCGAAGCGCTAGTCACCCGATGCCTACATAGGGCTAGACGTGACGCTTGGTGTCTTATCATCGGTGCCACAGCCAAGAGAGGGCGGAAAAACGACCACCTCGGCCACCTTAATCCTCCGAAAGTGTCCTGACATAGGCCATCACCCCAAATGGCTGATACTCTGAGCAGTGTTATTCAGTTTGAGAACGCGTTGGAAATAGTGCCCAGGTCCCGGATATGACACCACTGTTGCCAGTTCATATCCACAAGCTGCGGTTCCATGAGGCCTTTATCAGCCATTGCTGCCGAGCATATCGAGCCATTCAGGTTATCCACCAGTCGACTAGCCTTGGCTTCGTTTGGTGGCACTAAAATTTGTTTGTGCGCGAGATTTTGGACAGGGCCTGATTCTTCGTTCCTTTACAAACTTCCGCTATAAATGCCGGACGTCCGTCACATATGTCGCCCTGTAATGATGCCTGGGCACGCTGCAACGCGAGCTCCCCAGCTGTGCGCCATAGTGTGCGTACATCCGTTTTCCATTAGGCTCCAGTTTTAGTGCCTTACTGGCATGGTGCGGCGGCGTACGTTCACTACCATCGCGCTGACCCTATTGTCTTGAGCTATGGCGTCCGCGCGCCACAGGGCGCCCGTTACCCCAGACTCAGCCCTCCCCTTCCCACCGCCACCACGCCCGCAGCCCTGGTGTTTGTCAGCTGTGGGCGCGATGGCACACCATGCTCATGGCTTACCGCTTTTGTTTCTGCCGATCCCAATGTCGGTGCATGTGTATCACGTAACTCATGGGGCCCTGTTCACGCCCACCGCCTCGCCAGGGGACGTGCACCGGCCTCGCACCGCGTGACCCCGCGTCCACCTCTCCGCCCGTCCGCCACCTGACGCGCGCCTCTCGCAGCCTGCGCTCGACGCCACGTGATGGTCTGTCCGTGTCGCCCGCAGGGAGCGGACCAGTTGCTGGCCTGGCTGCTAAGTGACCTGGCGCAGGCCTCCCGCCGCGCGTCGGGCGCCGCCATCAGCGCGCCGCCAGGGGCCGGTCCGCTGACGCCGGCCAAGCGCCAGATTCGCTACCACCAGTGCTACTTCAACCCCATCTCCTGCTTCCGGAGGCGGAAGTGAGCAATGCCGCCGCGCGGAGCGGCAGTCGCGGCGGCCGCGGCCTCCTCGAGAGGCCCTGGTCCTGGCGTGGTCAGGCTGAGGTGAATCCAGCCGAAGTCCGCCTCCGAACCCGGCGGGCGTTGGTAGGGTGCAGCCAAGGAGGAGTGCACTCGACGGGGAGGGAGGCAGCGACACCGTCGTTTGCCTCTCGCTGACTCCTTCCCCCGCATCATTCCATCAGAGGGCGATATTTACGTACCTTTTTCGTGACTTTGTATCGGCCTACCGTGGTGGTGTTGTCAAATAAACGAAGGTAAATCGGAAATACTGTTTTTTTTGGTTTTATGCTAGAGTCTGCAGAGACACTGGGGCAAGCGTCGTACTGACAGAAAACGGCAAGCCTTTGACAAAAAAGGCAACCTACGTGAGAAAAGAACACACGACCATCCTCACAATTCAGCACGGGTAGAAATTTCAAACGTGTCTGGTCGATGTTGGAAGCAGCGGGAATATCGAACCATGCCCGATACAAATCATCGGGGAAGCAGACGTGTCGGTTTAAGTCAATCGAATTCAAAGTTTGCGCACTTCCTTTTTTTGAAAGGCCTTAACCCATTTTTTATGCCCCATATTCCTGTTTTCTCCACCTAATCTGATTGATAACTTTATGACGATCTGCTATGCACTGAGATGAAATGTTCGTGAAGGGTCGTAGTTACTCTGACGCATAGATATACTGGCTAATTCCGCACAGCTTCCTTGGTGCTCATATTTGATGGGGGCAAATAATGTTTTGTATGATGTATCATGTATGTATCATTCATGCAAACGGTTTTCGCCGTTTGAACATGGATTCTGGCCACAAGTGTGGAGTGTGCTGTTTACATACGATCATGGGTACTTTTCAGAAATCCTCCCCGCCATTCGACGATGGTTTTCAAAAGCTAAGTAGCAATGGCTGCACTTGAAATCCCCGTCCATTTTCTGGGCGATTCACCATTATTTACAGGAATATTGGTCTCATCTGGAATATATTTCAGAAGGCCGATGTTTTTCAGCGGCGAGGTGTGTCGAGCAGACTTCAGTACGGCCAATGTGCGCGCGGGTGGGATGGTTGCTTCTCACCAGGGTTGTAATTTCGCAATCAGTTGGGGAGGGGGCTTCAGCCTCAATTACATTTGAAAAGAAAGTGGGTCAAATCTGGAAATAAATCAATGCTTAACCTTATTTTCACCATACACTTAGCCGTTTTTCCTACTCAGAGGCCCTCTACTAAATACACCCTTCCATTAATGCTTGTGGAGATGATGGATAACGAAGACAATGAAGAGCGTCCCACGCTGTTGTTGGGCCCTGTGTGCTGTCCTAGGCCCGTATGCTGACCTGACTCTTAATCGCACAACAGCCAGCCTCACTGGTCCTAGACTTGCTTCGGATTTGATCGGAGAACGGAGGATTTTGTCGGGGCCTTAAATGTTCATGTGCCAATGCCCTGTCCATCGCCACGGTACCTTCCACATTGGCCCTGGGTTGCATCCTGCATGTGCTTGCGAGTGCCAGAACTTCCCCCGCTCATGGTGTTTCGCCACCTCGCGAATACCGACGGAGCTAGATAATCAATATACACAAGTCCGAGATCTGGAACACGGTTTCGCTTAGTGCCTTAATCTCAAAAAGTAGGATAGAACTGACCGCATAGGTTCCGATGAATGTTTACGTGTAATTGCCTGAGATAATTTTCGCACAAGCGTCGTATACTTTATTTCCCCTTCGTTCGTACACCTGTGGCTCTCGTTTTACCCGTGCGTCACATTCTCATCGAAGGTTGAATGCTGGCAATTACGTACACCTGTATTGTGGTTAAACAACGATGCTGCATTAGTCAGTTTTCTCAGAACCAATGGGACGAGATATGTGTATCACGGATGGATTATTCATTCAGACTGTGGCTTTCATCTGGTGTGTTAATATGCGCACAACGATTCGGCGAGCTAACCCTCCGGCCGTCGTCAGTTGTCATGGCTTGGATTGTCAATTGTCAATTTTCAATTGTCAGCTGTCAATTTTCGTCCTTGGAAGAACTGCGACGCTTGTCTGTCACAAAAAAGTTATGCATACTAACATACAAGACGAGAACGATAGGCCAAACCATTATCCCATCTGCATTAATTATTTGCCACCAGCTCGTCACAACATTGACTAACCAGCTAGCCGCATCCAACCTTGGGATAAAGTGCCGGGCTTGATTTTGGTGGGATTAGCAGCCATCTCAGTTTGCTATATCTTCTCAAAAATTGGGTCATTATTACAACGCAGTACCCCCTCAAATCTGACGAGGATATGTTTATGCCGTAATAATACGGCCAAAACACGATACTCAGTTTTAGTGCCGCAAGGTGTGCGATAAAGAACTAGCAGCAGATGAAAATGCACGATGACGTAACGAATCTTATTTTTCAACTTGCTGTTGCGAAAACAGTTTGCGGAGTATCGTGTGTGGGAAAACTGCATCAAACAGCTAATTACATGTATTATGCTTGTTTAAAACATGTGTCCGTATGACACGTAAGACCCATTAGATTAGACCCACAAGGTTAGGTTCATCCAGTGACCTGGTCTGACACTGACATCATTTTCTGAAACACCGGGTGCATTCAGTTGTATTGAAACCGATATGCAATTGATGAGCATTTTTCCGTTCAGATTATATAAACAGATCGATGGGATCTCTTCCAGATCGGTCGTCAGTCAAATTTGAGCATTGATGGGTCACGCACGGCGGGCCGCCATAAGCCTCGGCTGGCGGGCCGGTATCGGGTGACCGGGCATGACTGGCTCAGTCAGTCGGGGACTGTCATCGCGACTTTGAAACCATTCATTTTAATCTTAAAACCGGCCATTTAGACATCTTCCGGAATCCTAGAACAACATTGCAAGCACAGTTCGTCTTTATGACGAATGCGCATCGATCGGCCGCACGTACAAGTCCTTTACGAATTGCCCAGATGGCAACGTCGTGCGCTCCGAGTAGTAGAGTACAGTAGAGCTGCCACTTTTGGGCCCTGTCGCTTTTAAGGCGCGCTCCGAGTGTTCACAGTAGAGCTGTCACTTTTGGGCCCCGTCGCTTTTAAGAGGCGCTCCGAGTGTTCACAGTAGAGCTGTCACTTTTGGGCCCCGTCGCTTTTAAGGCGCGCTCCGAGTGTTCACAGTAGAGCTGTCACTTTTGGGCCCCGTCGCTTTTAAGGCGCGCTCCGAGTGTTCACAGTAGAGCTGTCACTTTTGGGCCCCGTCGCTTTTAAGGCGCGCTCCGAGTGTTCACAGTAGAGCTGTCACTTTTGGGCCCTGTCGTTTTTAAGGCGCGCTCCGAGTGTTCACAGTAGAGCTGTCACTTTTGGGCCCCGTCGCTTTTAAGAGGCAACATGAGGACTGAAAAATCCCGCGGGGTCTTTGGCGGGCGCTTCTGATAAAGTGGAGGGAAATGGAGGGCTTTTAGAATACAAACCGTCCCAAATTATGTATTTGGAACAAATGCACAATCGAATGTCTATTGCTTAGGCACAACAAATACTCATGAAAAGAAAAGTTTTATAAAAGATGCAAAAGCAAAGAAGCAACGTATTTGATGTTAAAGATTTCTTGATACCGGGCATCCTCTTTCATAACTCAATCTGCTATAACACATTCAATAACTTCATCAGCGGCATAATATGGCTTAAGCACCGCACCACTATCGCTTATAGATAAACTATACAAAATGCGCTCCAAATAGCTGAAATTTCCTAAAAGAGCCATCCTAAAAAGAGCCAAAAAAGAGCCATCCTAAACTTGTCAGGAGGCAGTAAGGCTCAATACCATTCATCAAATGTAATGTAGATCATGAGAACACACATTGCTTGGCAAAGCTGATAGGTCCAAGTGCTCAGGTCATGTTCAAAGAACAAACGTCACACATCAGGTTGTGGTGTATTGCGTTACTAGTGAGCGTGCCTGGGCGCGCCTCTGCGGCCGACCGCCAGAGGCGCGGCCGACCGGCCGCCGCGGTCAGCGGTCACCAGGACGCCTGTCGACTGATACCGGTGAGAGCGCGCGTATATCACAATGCCCTGCTTAGATTAAATGGAAAGGGGGGGGCGTGCAAAGGAGTTACAATCCATGCCAATGTTTGCCAAATCCACAATATCTTACCCCCAAACCAGTCTTTTGTAACTCAGAACTTATATGCAGACTATGGAACTTAGAAAAAGCAATAATGTCTGCTGAATGCATGTCAAGTTTTGTAGTTTCGTCCACGGTTTGTCTAGCCGCCAAGGAAAATTACTAGCAACCAGCGCCCTCTCCTATGCCGGAGCACCGACGGACGATTGCGGCGCACATGGCTCGTGACAGTCAAGAGCACGGGCAAGGCTGACCGACGATGTCAGCTGTTAACATTGTCCATGCCAACCGACTGCATGGAAACAGCTTGGTGTGTGAAATGGCAGCATTTTGTTCATGTAAGATATGCTTTGAGTTGGAAAAAAGTAAATTTAGACGTGAATCAAACGTAAAAAGATGAAAGTCGAGCGCATCCTAAATTATTTCTGTTCCAACGTTAGGATATATTAATGCGTTCGTATGAAGAGCGCGTTCGGCCTAGCGAATGTTATTCGACGATTGGTTATCTCCCCAATCATTATCCACGTAGATTCTTCATTTGCGTTCGCCGGTTCGGAAATATCCCCAAATTCGTCCCCCATGCACCATGCACAGCCAACGGTTAGAGCTATACATAGCCAAAAAAGATTAATCGTCTTGACCATGCTCAGAAAATTTTCCAGGGAAATTCCATGTAATATTGCTCTTTCTCCTTCGACACGAAAAAGCAATATTATATGGGATAATATTTTGTGCTGGCAGTGACAAACGCCATTCCCCAAAAATCAAACATTCCGGATAATTTTCCGAGATTCTCTGCCCGCCGAACGCGCCAGAAATGAGTTGCTTTGACCACACATGTTACGGCGTAATCATTGGCGAATGGCGCAGCCAAATAATGAATAACCTTTAAGCAAGCTAAGATCAGGTTAAGTGCGAGCCGTCTTTAGCTGGATTCATGTTAAAGCATGCGCTGATGGCGCCAGCACGTATAAGGTGCGTAAACCGCTTTAACTCTTAAACTGCAAAAGATTCTGGCGTTTGTGTCTCGGTGCCGCCCACGAACGACGCCCACGCGGCTTACAAACGAGGCGTGTTTGCTAGTCAGTGGTCACGTTTTATCGACGGTTTATAGAGTGTTCAGCGTGAACTCATATCCACAGGATTATCATTT